TCTTTTGCTTGAAGTTTTCTTTTCCATCTCTTCACGTTCTTGTCTATGAATTTCATCTAACATCATGAAAATATAACAAGCATAACGAGGTGAAGCCCACATTGCTACGGCATTTACTAAAAGTCTATGTACATACCAACCTCTCAAACCAGGAGCCAAATTCTTGCGATTTTCGTACGGAATCTCTACCCTCGGTTTTCCGAGGGTAGCAAACATATGAGGAAATTCTTCTAAAAGTTCTTTTGTCTGTTGGTTTTCAAACCAATGGTATGCTTGCTTTGTAGAACGAAGAGTATTCAAAATACTTTGCATTTGGTACATATCGTCTTTGACCGAACGAATGAGACGGAGTGTTTGTTTAAACTGAACCCACTCGTATTCTTCATTTATGGCTTCATGAACGATAGCAGTTGTTGTGTTCTCTGTTGTTGACATATCTGTCTTTATATTCCGGATAAAAAAATAAATAAAAATAAAACTAACTTTATTTTTTCTATCTTTCACAAAAGACCAAAAATAAACGCTTTACATGTATTTTTCAGCAACTTCGTCAAATAATTTTATAGCTTTATCTATCTCATCCACTTCAAACGTTTCTTTACCTTTTATGGGAGCACCATTTTTCTCAAACTTTTCAAGTAGTTCTGTTTCAGCAGCTCTCATATCGTTAACGAACACAACCTTGACTCTATTGACTGTACTGTCATATCTTTGAGTTATATTATATGTTCTTCCTATCTTATATCTCTTTGTATTGAAGTCCTTCGGTTTCTGAACGATGTAAAGTAAGCCTTCACTGCAACGTTCCGTATCGAATGAACCATATGTTATGAAGTTATATCCAACAACTGGGTCTAACCATATATTGGTATAAGACTTTTGTCTATAAGATATGCTGTAGTTCCATAGAATCTTACCGATATCATAAGCTCAGGATTTCTTGTCAAAATTTTCTGACTAGAAGCAGTTCTAACCCAGTCGTGGGATGTTTTCTTTCCAAATGGAGATATAATGTCTGACAAAGAATATTTGTTGTATTTCTTTGAGTATCTTACGTTTAAATCACCAATTCTAACCAATTTAGTGTTATTGTCTATCTTTTTAACTGTTTCAAACTCAGTGTTTGTCATTTCTGTTCTTACATACAAAATAAAAAAATAAATAAAAATAATGTTTATGTTAGAATGTTAGATCTAACATGTTTTCTAACATGTTTTCTAACATGGTCTAAAACATACAAAATTCATGAAATTTCATACGGAATTCAGCAAAAATAATGTTTATGTTAGAATGTTAGATCTAACATGTTTTCTAACATGTTTTCTAACATGGTCTAAAACATACAAAATTCATGAAATTTCATACGGAATTCAGCAAAAATAATGTTTATGTTAGAATGTTAGATCTAACATGTTTTCTAACATGTTTTCTAACATGGTCTAAAACATACAAAACTCATGAAATTTCATACGGAATTCAATAAAAATAATGTTTATGTTAGAATGTTAGATCTAACATGTTTTCTAACATGTTTTCTAACATAACTATTTACAAGCGTTTTACATGGTATATGTTGCGATGGTTCATGACTCTAAACAGTTTCGTAGCTTCAATTTCTTCTTTTAGTACATCGAATGTTTTAACTATGCGAAGGTTTCTTTATACTTCTTCTTGACGTCAGATAATAGGAAATCGTCAGCAGTTGGATAGTTTTTGTTCAGAAATTCTAACATGTTCATTTTATCTTCTGCTGGTTTTTCTGCTTCTTTCTTTAAATCTGCATAGTCGTTTCGCATACGTTCTATCTCTTTGACGGAGTAGTTATATTTCCTCATTGCTGCTTTACATTTTGAACATTGCGGATTCATTTTTGCGTTATATTCTGAAACCTTACCTGCTAAAACAACTAAGGCGTCAATGGTTTTCTTCATCTCGAACATAGCGGGTCTTATTTGTTCGTTCCATACCTTACCCCTACTATCTTTATCTCTTATTTCCCAAACACATTTTGCAACTAACGAAACAAAGTTGTCGTAGGTCTTAAACTCCCCAGATTTGTATATGTCAGAGATGTTCTTATATACCATGTCGCAATCTTTGTCCATAACTTTATGGTTGCAATGAAATCCTAGAAACTCATAGTTTACCTTTCGTATGAACTTCTTTATTTCTACTGAGTCAGTTGCTTTGACTTCTATTTCGTCAAATTCGGGAATGGTTAGTTTTTGTTGTTGGATTTCAGGCAATTTGGGTAAATGGTCAATAATGTCCTGCATTTCATAAAGATACTGTTCATTTGTTTCATCTTTCGCACTACAGTCTAAATTACTTGTTAAAAGTTCTTGCTTTATCTTCTGGATTTTTGTTTCGAAAGTATATGAAGAAGGAATGAAGTTTTTCATCTCTACTAACATAGATGTTGGATTCATGACTAACGAGTTTGGTGCTGTTGTTGCTAACATGTTCTTACAATAAAAATAAAAAATATTTTTTTAAAAAAACTAACTTTATTTTTTATTTCGGGAAAATTCATGAAAATTCAAGAGTTTTAGACCATGTTAGAAAACGTGTTAGAAAACATGTTAGATCTAACATTCTAACATAAATTATATTTTTGGTGTAAAATTCATGAAAATTCAAGAGTTTTAGACCATGTTAGAAAACGTGTTAGAAAACATGTTAGATCTAACATTCTACCCTAAAATATATTTTTGGGTCATTTACGCTCATTCCGATGAAGAAGTCTTGACAAAACATTTATGAAGAAGTCTTGACAAAACATTTACGAAGAAGTCATGAAAATTCAAGAGGGTAGAAAAGAGGGTAGAAGACAGGTTAGATCTAACCTTCTACCCTAAAATATATTTTTGTCGAAAAAAAATGGTTCATTTACTCACAATATTTTTGTACAAAACGACCCCAAACTTTTAACTTCTTTTCTGCAGCTTCTAATGTTATCTTAGCGAGTTCATATTCTCTAAATTCTCTCTTTAAATCTTCTTGTTCCCATTGGTCTAGTTCGTATGGAGAATCTCTATAACCATAACATATCTCACGTTCATGTTCTAAATGTTTTTCGCACATTTTTCTAACTTCTTGTTCGAACAAAGGTTTTGCATTCTCTACTGTATCTTCAAGTTCTTCTTCATCTAACTTCTCATGAACTTTCTTGTCTATGGAGTCCATAATTTTTCCAACTGCTATACAATATTTTGGAGAAGCCCACATTGCAATATAGTTTACGAGTCTTGGGTCTACATACATTCCTCTAACCTGTTTGATTTCATCCGGAATTCCTGCATGAACTTTGTATAAAAAGCAACCCGCCGTTTTCCGCGGGTTGGTATATTCTTCACAAAATGCCTTAAAATACTCTTCCCAGGACTTATTTTCCAACAACCTTCTAAAGTCTTTCCTAAACTGCTGACACATCTTTGTTGCATTTATATAACCATCCTTGTCTCTACGTAAGACTTCAATACCGTTGTAAGTGCCTTTTGTGAATGTTTCGCCATTAGATTTGTTCGTGAACGTTTTTGCTTCGACTGACATTTCTGTTCTTACAATAAAAATAAAAAAATATTTTTTTAAAAAAACTAACTTTATTTTTTTATTTCGGAAAATTCATGAAAATTCAAGAGTTTTAGACCATGTTAGAAAACGTGTTAGAAAAGGTGTTAGATCTAACATTCTAACATAAACATTATTTTTGGTGTAAATTTCATGATTTTCGAGAGTTTTAGACCATGTTAGAAAACGTGTTAGAAAAGGTGTTAGATCTAACATTCTAACATAAACATTATTTTTACTGAATTTAGCAACAACTTTCTCTCAATTGGAGCTGTGGCATACTCTTTGCGTAAGCGGTTCAGACCTTCTTCGAAGTCTTGGTCTCTCTTCGATTTGGATTGAGATTGGAATTGCTGGAATTGGAATTGCTGGAACAACTTTCTCTCAATTGGAGCTGTAGCATACTCTTTGCGTAAGCGGTTCAGACCTTCTTCGAACTCTTGGTCTCTCTTCGATTTGTATTGGAATTGGTAGTAATTTGGTGGAGGGACTTGCTGGAACTGAGGTGCAGGGGCTGGTGCTTTAGGTTCTTCTGGATTGAGATTGGACTCGGTTGGTGGTACGTCGGACATTCGTTTGTGGCTTAACCGTCGGACCACAACGATAAAAATCTCTGCTCCTAGCAGTACTGCTACTGACAGTAGCAGTACTTTTACTGACAGTAGCAGTACTTTTTCTGACAGTAGCAGTACTTTTACTGACAGTAGCAGTACTTTTTCTGACAGTAGCAGTACTTTTACTGACAGTAGCAGTACTTTTACTGACAGTAGCAGTACTTTATCGTCGAAAACCCTCTCAAATTTTCCTTTTTACTGACATTAGCAGTACTTTTACTGACATTAGCAGTACTTTTACTGACAGTAGCAGTACTTTTACTGACAGTAGCAGTACTTTTTCTGACAGTAGCAGTACTTTTACTGACAGTAGCAGTACTTTTACTGACAGTAGCAGTACTGCTAGGAGCAGAGATTTTTATCGTCCAACTTTACAAATGTAAACTTATATCGTTCTATTTTCTTCACTAGGGTCTAACACCAAAGTAACCTATGTACATGAAATTTCACTGCATAAAAGGAAAAAAACCTGGGCGAATCGGGATTTGAACCGAGGTCTTCGACGCCTTTAACGAGGTAGCCCATACCACTGAGCTATGAGCCGCTTACATATTCACAAAAATAAATTGTTTTCATGAGTTTTCTACGATGTTAGAAAAAATGTTATTTTCTAATATCTTCACATTCAATACTTTTTCAGCACTTTTCCGTAGTTATATATGAAAGACAATTCGAGATAAAATTTCTTCATCTGAAATATTTCTACCGGCATTTGTAAAGATATAGTCTAACGGTTTTGTATCTGCTACTTTTGTTCTTTGTTTTTCAACCTGAAACATTTAATATATGTAAAAATATATGGTTTTAAAAAACGTTTTAAAATGGTATGCCATATAGCTTCTTGAATTTGTTAAGACGTATTTGAACGCGTTTTCCATCTGTATCTCTAGTGTTTACATAAGCACAGCCTGCCTTAGTAAAACATACTTGTAATTTTCTATAGTTTACGCCGGTATAAAGGTAGAAAGAGTCCTGTTCTTCGCTATAGTAGTAAAACTCAAACGTATGCTTACCATAGTCTGTAATTTCAATTGCTTCATCTTCTAGTTCGTCGACAAATTCGAATACAATATCTCTAAATTTGCCTATGTTCTTACTGTTTTCAGAACAAGTGACCCAACGTAAGTTTTCAAGTCTATTGTCGTTTCTTATATGGTTTATGTGGTCTACAAAAGGTAGATTGTTAGGGTTTGGTATAAAATGAGTTGCAATGACAACATGTTTAAAATAGTGTTTTCCACCAATCCTCATCCTAGCATATCCGTCATTTTGCTCCCATTCGCTTAAAACTCTTTTTGTCTTTTTGTTTCTGACTTCAAATGACTCACAACAGTGAATTTCATATTTCTCATCTAACAAACAAGTTTTCCAACGGTCTGTTCCAACAAACTCAGCGTACATTTCAAATAAAATAAAAAAATATATTTTTTAAAATAAATGTTTTAAAATGGTATGCCATTTCATATTTCTCATCTAACTCTGCTTTTACTCTAGCAGATTTTCTATCCATTCTATACGGGGGCATTTTTATAAAAATAAAAAAATGTTTTTTCTTTACTTTACGTAACCACCAGCTACCAGAAGTCTTTGACGCCAACCCATACCAGCTAATGAAGGTTGACTTGGTTTAGTTTCCAAACTAAACTTTGGTTTTGGTTTATCTTCAGTTTTTGGCTCCCCTTCTTCTATCGGTCTTTCGTCACTTTTCGGTTCATCTGACTTTACCTCACTTGCAGGTTTAGTTGTGTCGTCAACATCTTCGTAAATATCATATGCCATTTGTTTTTGTTTTCCTTTCAACTTTTTGTGTTTGTTGTAAAGTTTAGAATATTTCGACTCTAAGTCAATGAGATGTTCTATAATGAACTGTTGGTCAGTGAAGTAAACTTTTCCATCTGTTGTCTCTTTAACTCCTTCAGACTTCAATATTTTATTTGTGAGAGTCTGTTTCTTTTTTGAGATACTAGCCGTTCCATTTCTATGAAAAGTGACTTTGTAGTTAGGGTTTGTATTTCCAGACCTGGCACTTTCTATTATTGAATTTTTCTCTTCATCTGTAAGTTCTTTGACAGGTTTTGACAATGGTTCTGAACTTTTTGTTTGTGGTGTCAAATCTACCGTTTCAACTTCTTCGGTCATTTCATCTCAGTAAAAAATTTTAGTTTGGTTTGTTTTCAACTGGTTGTTGTTGTTTTTTAAGTCGGTCTAAAACTTCCTGAGGTATAGGAAGAACTTGACAAACACGTTGTGTAACTGCTGGAAGTCGACAAATCCATCTTGAACCCATTTGTCTCAATGCTGTATTGTTCATTTCATCTCAGTAAAAAAATTTACATTCCCCAAGTTTGAGGCGGTTGCGGTTGGTTGTTGTTTACCCACTGTTGTGCATGGTTATATCCTCTGTTAAAGAATCTTTCACCTTGGTCCATATAGTGTCCTGCTTGGTTATAGTAGTCATTTGCTTTGTTATAGTAGTTTCCTGCTTGTCTTCCTACATTGTCCATCCATCCTTGAACTTTTCCTCTTGTTTCAGGATTTGGAATAAGATTTGCTGCGTCTCGTGCTACATCCCAACCTTTCTGTACAGTTTGTATAATAGGTTGTGCTTTCTCTTTAAGTATACCTAATGTACTCAAAATCTTCCTTCCAACTCCAAATACACCTCTGGCTATTGTTCCCACTGCGGGCAAAAATCTGGATGCAACTCCTGCTAATGCGCCAAATAAACCCATTTCTTATAGGGTAAAAATGACGAATCCAAACAAGGACCCCTATGTTTCTAAAGCGACAAAGAAAGCACTCATGATAAAAATCTTTAGTTCAACACCAAATGCTTGGTTTATGGATATCTTGGAAAACATTCCGAGAGTTAGAACAGATGGACCACCATACTGGCTAATATTTGTCGGTCAAAACACAAGATACTGTGAAGCTATACCATTACAGTCCAAAAATATTTTAGATGTAAAAACTGCTTTGACAATATTCGTTGACAAATACCATCCAACAAAACTGACATCTGACTGTGAAAGTTCTTTCAAATCAGACGATATTAAAAACTATCTGCGTTCAAAAAATGTAAACCAATATTTCATTGTCGACCAAAACCATTCTGCTCTTGGTGTCATTGACAGTTGTATAAAAATCTTAAGAGACTTAAATCAACCACAAGGTGGTGAAGCAAATGAAATGTCATATGACGACAAATATAGACACTTCTCCATGGCAAAGATGAGACAAGTTTTAAATATTTACAATAGCCGTAAACAAAAAGGTTTGGGAAACCACTCCCCCGAAGAAATGAAAAACAACCCCGACTTAGAGAAAGACTATATATTTAATAGTTTAGTCAAAAGAGACAAACAAGAAAGAATGCCAGGCTTCAAACTTAAGAAAGGTGACAAAGTAAAAATAGAAATACCTAAACGCGACCCATATGAAAATACTATTGACTATGACAACAATGGGAACTCGACAGGTACTCGCATTCGTGTTCGTAAAAATAGAAGAAAGTATACAAGAGAATATTATGAAGTTTTAGGCAAACATGGCAAAATGTACACACTGCAAGCAGAAGATAAAACTACTATTGTCAGACCTCGTTTCAAACTTGTCAAAGTTCAAGGTATATACTTTCAAAGACAGTTCCTAACAAATATAAGACAACTCCTGACGAATATGCTAAAGAAGTTGAAAATGACGACTAAGCAATTCTATACCATGCGTAAACTGTCATGTAAGGTGGCATGTAGTCTTTACTTTGTCCCGTTGTTTGCGTATATCCTGAAACGCGATGTGTATGGTTTCCTCCTCCCTCAGTGTTACTCCAGAAACAATTTATAGCAAACTTAACGTTGTCTTTAACATCATATCCTTTACCTTTTGTCATTGCTGCCCAATCCCAATATCTATGCTTATGCCAACCTGCTTGAGATGTACTTAAATCTATGTAGTGACTGTGTGCAGGTAGGTTTTCACCTGAAATCGTTTTACTTCCGCCTGTTTCCTTTGAAGAGTTTGCACAATACAAAAACCTGTCGACTATTTGAGTCCAAGTTCCAAAACCAAGTACTACTTCTGGTCTGGTAGAGTTCATTGACGTGTAAATAGAACCTATAGGATATAGTGTTTGAAGTATTTCTGTCTTTAACGTTTGAAGCTCTGTTTTGTCAGCTTTTTTATCATATAAATCTTGAGCAGTGAATTTAACTTTTTTTTCATCCTCCATGACATAGACATTTCTACATCTAATGTATCTCATCGTTGTTATGTCTTCTTCCGATGTTAAACCTTGTGGAAAGTTAGGAGGTTTCCAATTTAATACATCCCCACCAGTTTCTTCAACCGTTCCTTCAATATTTTCTATACCAACAGTTGCGAAGAAATCGTGTGTATGTCCAACGTCACTTTTCCTGTTTAAGGTTTCTTGTAAGTTTGTAATATCAGATATGGTATGTGTATGAGTCTTTTTAGAATATTCTTTGTCAGCTCTTGTCACTTCACTTGACATTTTATTGTCAACATATGTTTTATCTGCTTTGTCATCTAACATTGCTGGTAGTTCATCTACGTCATAGATGTTATGTGTATGATGTTTTTGTGGGTATGTTCTATCTGTCCATGCGAGAATATAGTCTCTTGTTGCATCTACATACTCTTTGTCAGCTTTGTTGTCAATATCTGCCTTCAAAAGAAGTTCATCTATAGGTTTCTCGTTTAAAGTTCTTTTGTTGGATTTATACAAACAGTATGGTTCTTACTGTCTTGAAACAGAAACTCGTCTGTCAATGGGTTTATCGTCAGTTTTAAGTTTCCTTCTTTCAATGACTCAGATATCTTAGAATAGTTTGAAAAGTTTGTTGTGTTCTTATTTAGAGCTTGCACAATGAGTTGTCGGTTGTGTTGTATTTCTCTCATAGACGCTGTTTCTTTCGACATTTTTATTCTAGATAAAATATGCTTTCAATAGAAAAAGAAAATTCAAGAGTTGCTACAACTAAACCATTAGATGAACTTTTTACTAATGTCGGTCAAAAGTTTGAGACAGAGACCGTAAAGCATGAAGGCTATCGTTTTGACTACCCACTTAGATGGTTAAGAGACCATCCGTCACAAAAGCTATTGGCTTTCGTAGAATGAAGTTCATTTCAGAAGCCATACATGGTTTCCCATTTACGGTCGCTTTTGAAGTTCGATACTAATAACAAAGAAAAACGTACGTATGAGAAATTTGAACAGGGAAAACTTTTACAAGTGAATTTGCTTGTAAACTTAGAAACAACTCTTCAAGCTTTTCAAGAAAAAATAAACGATATCTATCTCGAATATGCAAAACAGTACAACATTGACGAAGGAGAATACCATCTCGATATTATATATGACAGGAAAAATGCAACTGTTAAATTCAATAGAATAGAAGACCTTGGAGAAGACGTTTATATTTCTACAAAATATAACAACTTGGCATGGTATAGATTTTTGAGGATGTTAAATCAGCCTGCAGAATATCCAGTACACCCGAACTTTTATGAAGTCGAAAAACCCTAATGGAACATATGAAAAATGTTTTCGACTCAGATGCTATTATAGTTCATGCTTCATTTTCTGGTGCACAAAACTCTTTTTTATGCTTGGCAAATGACTTTTACGAAAAACCTACAAAGCTATATGAACCACCAAGTGGAAGTATTTCAGACTTTCAAGTATGGTTTACAACAGATGGAAGAAAAGAATAATTCCATTATACCATGCGTTTTACTTAGAACTTAGTTTCATATACAACTACTATCGAACGTAAAAATATAATTTTAATACGGTTGAGGTGTTGGATTTGGTTGCCAACTAGACTGTGGTGCAGGTTCAGGCTGTTGTATAACAGGAGCTTGTTCTTCTGGTTCAGGGTCTTTAGGTATAATACCAACGAACTGACCTACTCTTTTTACCAATATTTTTGACTCCGTTCCAAATTCCTCTTCCTACGGTTTTTATTCCATTCCATATACCTCTTCCAACATTTCGAAGAAGTTTCCTATCTTACTGAAGAAACCCATTTTACTATATGTAAAATCTAATGTCCACCTAGTCTCTTACGTTTCCTTCTGAGTTCCATTGCATTCTTTAACTGGAGCTCATACATTCTATTTCTCCTCTGGTAGAAAACATATTCTGGGTCAACTCCTGTGTTCGCGTCATCTGCATAGAGTTGTTTATATCCCACTTCAGGGTTTGTATAAAACTCTTTCCATCTCATATTTGCATACCATGGTGGCAAACCTAACGCAGCGTCATTTGACATGGCAGTTTGCATTTGTACATCTGTTGGCACTTGACCATAGTTTGCCATTGCAGTTTGTATTCTAACTTCATTTGGAATATTCTCTGGGTTTGGTTGTCCAGGTTGCTGTGCATTCGCTAAGTTCTGTGCGCCCATTTAATATTAGATAAAAATATCTCTTACGAGTACATATACTGAACATTTGCAGGCATTGGTTCATCTTCATATTCTCTGTACTTTTCTGCCACGTCAAAGAAATAAATGACACAATGGAAAAAACCTAAAACAAGTAGTCCTATTTCAAACCACATTTACTTACCAATAAAATTTCTTTGTTATGACACTTTCTCCAGTTTATAGGACCTCTCTCATATTCTATCTTATCGTATCTAAAATCATAGTCATGTATGTCCTCTAACCATCTCATAACGGTTTCCAAACCACTTTTATCGGATGTAAAGTAAAAGCATGGATGGTTATGTAAAACGTCTAAAGTTTCTAAAGAGTCTCTCAAAGTCCAGTCTACTTGGTATTGAAAATCCCATGTGTTATAGAACGGCGGGTCCACTATAAAGAAAACATTTTCCTTGTCTTTATATTTTTCATACAACTCTGTCCAACGACATCTCACAAACTCTATACCCTCAATATATTTTTCTATGTCCTCTTTGAAAACATTTGTATAGTTGAGATATAAAACTTTTGACATAAGTGTTTCAATGTCATGAACTCTTATAGCACCACTATATAATAGTCTAGAAGATATACTATCCCAGTCAATATACTCTGCTTTTTTCAAAACCTCTCTGACAGTATTTTTCTTATCTAATGGTATACGTTCCATCTTACCTATAGGTATCTTTTCTTTTAACTCTTTCAATATTTTGTTTGTGTCTGGTATATGTTTGAGACGGTTCATATAGTTGTCGAAGTCATTGCATATAATCTTTGAGTCAGGAAATACAGTATGGCACAAATGAGATATATAGAAACTTCCACCGAACAAATCTACAAATGTTAGACCATTCGGTAGTTTCTTAAGTTCTCTCAATAGAATATCTTTACATCTACTCTTATTTCCAAAGAAGGGTAACGGTGGTTTTGTAAAATTCATTTTATATACAATAAAAATGTTTTTTTCCTGAAAAGTGACAGAAAAGTGACAAAACATGAAAACATATATAATTTGTGAAAAGCGACACATTATATAATGTTTTCGACCCAGAAGACTAACAATTTTCCGAATAAAAACTTCATTTATACTAAACATCTTCGGGGGCTAGAAGGCACGAAGTGCCTGGAAGCCATCCCCCAAGAAAAAAAAAACTTCATTATACTCATTCATCCTCAGGGCTAGAAGGCACGAAGTGCCTGGAAGCCCCACTTCCTTTTTTTTTTTTTTTTTTTTTTTTTTTTTTTTTATAATAACATACTTTTTAATATAAAAATAGACAGTACCAACTTTGCGGATCTTCGATCCGCAAAGTTGGTACCTAAAGCGTTATAGACTTACCCATGAATGGACAAGGCTGTCATGCACCAGTGTGTTATAACAGATCGATTTTATTTGAAATTTCATAAATTTTATTTGAAATTTCATAAATTATAATAAATTTGATATTCAGAGACGGCGCTACGCGCCTTTTAGCATTCTGGGCACTTACGTGCCCAGAATGCAAGCTTAAGAAATTTGAAACTTCGTTTCAAATTTCTGCCATGCTGTTATGGAAAAAGAAAGTCAGTACAAAAAAAATTTTTGAAATTGAGAATAAAAATAATATCGTGATTTTTTGTGATATATGGATTTTTTAGAAGATTTTAGAGATTGAAGTCTCAATTTATAAAAATTTTTTAAATTGAGAGGAATTTTAATGATATTATTTTATTTGATATTTGGATTTTTTAGATGATTTTAGAGATGTCAATCTCAATTTAAAAAAATTTACAAAAAATGATCGTAAAATAATCGTTTTTGTTCAAATCCTTTTCATTTCGGGAAATTGAAGTTAAATATCAAAGAGATGGTCTATGCATATGTTAAATCAAATCATTAAAAAGTGTTTTGATGACTTTTTCTAACCGCAAATTGTCACTTTTTGATGTTTTAAAATTATTATATATCCTATATGCATATAAGATACAAATTAATATTAAAACTCCAAAATCGATTTTTGAGAGAATCAAATTTATCACATCTCATCGTTGTTCCGAATTAATATTTTATTTGTAATGTAATATTATCACAATTACATTCATCATATTAAAATTCAAAAATAATTTTTGAGTTTCAGATCTCCCTAATTTCCCATATAAATATATGTTTATTTTATTAAAAATAGAATGTCCAATTATTGATAAAAATCGATCCGCTTTTCTACCGGTCAAGCTGTATATATATAGAACCCATCCATGTAAACCTCGATGTCACTTTTGCGGCCTCGCTCCGCTCGGCCGCAAAAGTGACATCGAGGTTTACATGATGGAAAAAATGATATATCATTCAAAGTAATTTTATTATGTGACTATTTTTATCCATTTATTATAGCTATTCAAAGAATTACTCTGTTACGTTTTCGTCAAGAGCAAAATAATTGTTCACGAATTAGCATACAAAGATCTGAAGCATCTATATAACTCATGGCTTATATATACTCTAACAGTTAATGATATTGAGAGAAAAAACATTCATATTATGATATAAATAGGACTGATATGAGTTATTATGAAAAAGGAAAAATTGACTAGTGAAGATAAAATTTCATGCTTCAATAAGACTTATATGAAAAAATAGGAAAATCACGCCAAAAAACAAATTTATTTAAACTCAGGATCTTCATTAATAATTTTCAATGGTGGAAAATCTGGCCGACATGGCATTTTGCTATAAGTGCCATCTCTGTAGTTGAAGTAAATACCTGACTCGTCAAAATTGCGAGCAAAAATTTTTTCATCTTTATTACGGAAACATTTTGCAAACGTTTCGATATATTTAATCACGTTCTCACCTGCATTATGAAGTTTTGCGTATCTGTGTATGATACCCCCAAACAAATATCCATATATTACGACATCTGATTGAGTGATTAGACCGCATCGCTTGTCTACATCATGAATGAATTGCTTGATAATGCATTGCCCAATAAATGTAAGATCGTCATCATCATTTAGTTTAACAAATTTGTTCAAATATCGAAAATCTTCAAGCTTAAGTGAATTAATGTCTTTAATTTCAAATGTACGTCCTAGCGCTTTCTGAGGTTCTTCCCATGTTGGACATTGAGTCCTGAGATATTGTATTAGCTTAAATTTGCGATCAAACTTGAAATAATACCAATAGGAGTCGCCGTCGAAAAATTTCAGTGATATCACCCATCTTGGAAGCTTATCAAGATACATATAATGGATTATGTAACCGATAAGTGTAGAAATCAAGTTAAATATTAGTGCAAAAACGTCGACAAGATCCATGATTTTTCTCAGTAATAAAACCCCAAACTTCTCTTAATTGTGAAGAGCAATTGAAGTTTTCTTCATTCATAGTAGTTTAGTACTCTGTACTTACATTACTGTCAGAAACAGTGTTGACATATATGCAATTTAAAATCTATCTCATTTATACTTAATAAGAATATATCCAATTGTTCTATTCTTTCAAAATATAAAGCTTTACGAAGGAAATTGTATAGCTTAAGGGTGCACCCGCATGTATGTTTATTTGAGAGGAGGAGGATTACCCTCTCAATTTTGAAAGCTTCGTTAACCCTTTAAATACGCTTAAATAAAAATCTATACTAATAACTTTTCTCTTTTTTTTAAATAAATATACTCTCGTTCATTTTTTTAAAACAAATTATTATGTGAATATCATGAAATCTGTTAAAAAAATTTATTATAATAATTATCCATAAAATTCAAATCATATAAGGAAAAAAAGACAAATCTTGGAACAAGCATCAAAAATAAATAATGTTTACAATTCCAAAAAAAATTCATTGAGCAAATTCCCTTGGAAAATTTGTATTTCTTCTCTTGATTTTCAAATTTTTGATTTTTTTTTGATTTTTAAATGAAGAATTGAGAAACCTAATATAGATGGTTGTTGTCTCATATGTGAATATGTTTGTTTGATTTCACAGTTTGGACTTTTTTCATGTTTTATGATGAAATTGAGTTTATATCATATGTGTAGATAGCATATTTAAGAACAGATTACATGAATTTATATTTTCACAATTATGGTATATTGAAATAGGAGACGCTCAATATTACAATGTCTTTCTTAGGATTCCAAATGTATTCAAAATTTGTGAAACTACAATTTCTGTAGTTACTAGCAACATATGGGAAGAAATATACAAATATCTAGTAGATAGTATATCATTTTATCTCACAAAATGTGTATCTTAGGAAAATTTCTCGATACTTTTTCAAAACATACAATAACGTAAGATCTATTCTGCAAAACTGATTAACAAAACAAATATGTTTATTTGCAGGTCAAAGAATCGAATATTAATTTTAATAATATTATCTCGAAATAGCTCTTGCAGTTTTCTTCCATTCTTCGTCTATTAGTCATTGAATATTTACATGGTCTAAATTCATTACCAAAATCAAGGAAACATTGTTACGATATTGCTCATACTTAATTCATCTTTTCATATTGCAGCATTCTGCAAAATTGCAATTGTCTAGTATGATGCACACACATATCCTTTATATTATTATTTCCCAGCCATTTTTAATATTTTTAGACCTTCAAAAAAAAAAATTCAATGAGCGATCATTTCTCCACCTCATCAAGCGATGATGATTTGCAAATTCAGGCTTCTAATAATTCAGCAATATCTGGTTCATCTACCCAAAAAATGATGCCAATTTCGGACACATCTTATAAAAAAAGAAGATTCCCCAAAATACTAACAATCAAGATGCAAAAATGCGCAAAACTAGATGCTGTTTTATAATTTAACATTCAAAATTATTATTTGTTCAAATACTACACTTAATTTCTAGAAATTTTAATCACTAATACATCTTTTAAGTCATCACAATTCTAAATCTCTTAACAACATTACATGATATAATTAGTATAATTCAAGTAGTATATGGTATGGGTTGTGTGACTTTTTTTGTAAACGTAAGAATTCATACAATATTGAACGATTTTGTATCATTTTTTTTAACATATGAAGTAATAAATGAATGATTCTTACAGTTTTGATTCTTACGTTTTTGAATAAATCAAGATTTAAAAATTTTCAGAATCGTAAGAAATTTACACTCAGCCCATACATAACGAAATAAAAAAAATTAACATTAATTTTAAAATAATTTATATTTCATCACTTATAAAAGAAGCTATATATAGATGATGTCAGATATTCCGCGATTAATTAAACATTGTTTAAATCCTGAATGGAATCAAAGACCTCATTAATGAGAAAAATAAATTAGAAACTAATGATTATTTGAATTTATGAAATCAATTATTTGATTCATTCTTTCTTCAATAATTTCTATTCTTTTTGTTAAATCATCAATTTTCATTAATGAGGTGATTCTTGATTGAGGAATAGATTTCAAACTAACCACCCCCTTTATTTTTGAAATTTTGAATCCATCAACTTTAAACATTTTATTCAATTTACATGTTGTCAATTCTTCAAATAATTTTTTATTATTAGCATAATAGTCATTAAATTCTTCAACAGATGAAAAAATTTTTGTTTCAGTAATTGGTTTAACAACGTTTATTTTTTGTGGAACATCTTCACTTTCATTTATTTCTTCCTCCTCTGTTTCATTTATTTTTAAAATCGTTTTCATTTATCATTAAATAAAAATTAGAATATAAGTGATGAAATATATTTTTTAATTAATATTAAATCAGAAATGGCGGCAGGATTCTTTAAAAAATTATGGGAAGGAATTAAGAAAGCTGCGGGTTGGGTTCATCAAAAGATTATTAAACCCATTGCAAACTTTTTGGCACCAGTAGCGAAAACGGCAGGAACTATCATAGGTGGAGTATTAGGTACTAAAGCAGGTAATCCGGCGATGGGAGCACAAGCAGGTAACGCAATTGGTGGAATAGCTGAAGGAATACTTAATAAAATAGGAGGTAAATAGTGGAAAAATAAATAAATATTATTTTTATCTTAGTATCGGTTGAAGTCTTTGATAAACTTTTTCTCCTTTATTTAATATTTCTCTTATTGGGGCGGCTTTTGGTGTTATTGATTCAGCAACGTCACTAATTACTTCTTTATTCTTAAATATCCAATTTGCTCCTTTCTTCATTGTTTCCCAAACTTTATGCGCTCCTCTTTTTACTTTATCCCACAGTTTCTTAAATATACCTGCAGCCATAGTTGATTATTTCATTAAAATTAAAAATTCATTTTCATCTTTTAATTTTGATTTTTTATTTAATAATAAATGACGACTAACTATTTGGTGCCAAACACTAAACCAATTAATGGAAATGTGTTTCATTCATTCGAAAAGATAAATGAAATATTCGCGAAGAATGATGGTAGAAGATATTATAGAGAACTTGAAAGTTCATGCTATGACTCTGATACTCCATATTTTGATGATAAACAAACTCATTTAAGAATTACAAATCCAGCTCATGATGTGAACCAATTAGGTGACACATATATTAAACGCAAAGTTAAAGCAACTCTAGTTTCAAATAAAGCTTTCACATGTGATGCCGCTTTTAAATGCATGCGTTTATTCGTTGGTTACAAATCATCAAATCAAAGCTTTAAACAATTAGAAGTAGAAACTGAAAGAGGTGATGCCGGTTATCTTCAGATGGATTGTGCCCGTGAATCTTTCGCATTTGCAACATATAAACCAAAATCAGAAAGGAAAGTTAAAAAGTTTGTTCATTCGTTATATAATAATGTTCAAAAATATGATAACTCAGTATGTGGTAAATATATTGACCCTTCAGAAGTTTTCAAGAAAGCAAATGAAGAAGTTGATATCACTTTTGATATGATTATTCCGGTAAATGATTTGTTAGCATTTCAGGCGTTCGATGATTATCCTAAATCATTTGGTGATATCATTCTTAAATATTATGTTTTCAGGGATACTTTAGTATTTTGTCAGGTTGACCCGTTAAGAGTTGCTGATTTACAAAATTACGTTTATGAAAAGATAACTGATGAAAATTATGAAAAGATTATGAATCATGTTTATAAATATGATCGCAAATTCCAACAAATCGGACTTCCTGCCAAATTAATTACAAGCTTAGCCGCTACATCTGCTGACGCAACAGTTGATGACGTTATTATTTCATGCACAAAGATGGAAGTTTTAGAGGATAAATGCATTACACCAGGATACGGTTTAATTGAAGAATCAGTTAAAGCAATACCACGTTTATTTAGTAAGGAAGATCCATTCATGATTCCAGCTCAACATATTGACGTTCGTTCACTAAATGGAGGTTGCATCACTCCTGAAGGTATCAGCTCAGATTTCTCATACGCTCTTCATAATGTTACAGATGTTGTGTTAACATTTCCGAAGAATGCAATGCAAAGAACGGTTTTAGAAAATCCAATGCTTCGAGGTCTTCAGGTCACTATAGATTCCAGAAACTTCCCCGATCAAGCGATGACCACAGTGGGTGACATATTCTTTACACGTATGCTTCAAGCTTCTGATTTAGATGGAGTGAATGAATGCACAGAAGAATACGAGGACTCATTAACTAGACCACTGAATGATGATAATGGCACGCCATTAGCTAGAACATGGAAAGACCAAACTTCATTCTTATGCACTATTCCAGTTCAACGTGATGGAGCGGGTATATTCTTTGATGGATTAGAAACTTTCAACTCGCAAGTTACAGTACAAGTGAAAGCTTATCCAATCATTCAGGGTGAAAATGACACTTACTGTTCAAAAGTGACAAATCCTCCTCAGGTTTGGTTTACTAGGACTACGTATTGGACATGGACACCGGATGAAGGTTTGAAATATCATCCAACAGGTACACCACCGCAGTATAGAAGTTCATATGATGAAATATTGATGAATAGAAATGTTTAAAATTATAAATTTATTTTTGATTAAATGGATTTAAATTCTGAAGAATTAGCAGGAGTATATAATACATACGTAGATGATATGCTTAATGAAGCATTGAGTGATAATAGAAATGCTCTATCTAAGGAAAAATTAATGAAAATTCCATATTCTGAATGTTACTTAAATTCAATCACTGCAGCAATTGGTAAACAAAATAAAGGTAAAACATTAACGATATTAAAACAAATTATCATTATTGCTAACACTTCCCCCCATTCACATGTGTTAATTTATATCAACCGTTCAGGTTCACCTTCAGATGATACATTTGAATCTTTAAAGCATTTAATCAAAATTCCAATTATTTATTTATCACAAGAAGAAGCAGAAGATTATTTAAAAAACTTTTTAATGTATAAAGAATTATATAATACAATCAAGAAGCAAGGATTAGAGGATAAAATTATTGATAAACAACGGGATGAATTATTTGAAACACTTTCTATTTCAAATTTTGATAGAGAATTTTTGCATTCACTAATTTTTCTAGATGATGCAGTGAAATCAAAACTAATAACTAATGAGAAATCATATTTTAATCAGTTATTAACTCAATGTCGACACATTCAGTGTTCATTCTTTATGGCTGTTCAATATTTCAAAGCATTAAGCACAAACATTAAATCAAACTTGTCCACCCTTTTCATTTTCAGTGGTTTTAGTCGTCAACAGTTGAACGTTATGCTTTATCAAGTGAATTTACCAATGAGCATTAATGAACTTTACACACAATATCAACAATTAGGTGAACATGGAAAAATAATAGTTGATTTAAATAAAGGTTCCATTAAATTTGATTAACTTTTTATAATTAATTTTTATTTTTTATTTATAATTAAACATGACAGAAATAGCAAATCTTCTACAGGTTCCATTAAAACAAGGGACAAACAAAAAGGGTCCATATAATAGAACTATGAAAGTTCCAGACGGAATGAAAGAATTAGTTCATATTGTTGCTGGTCTTCAAAAAGATGTTAAACAAATGAGAAACGTTTTAACATTACCAGAAGCTCAAGCATATGCCAAACGTCATGGTCCAAATTGGGAAGCACATGAAGCAGACATTACAGGACCAAATTGGGAAGCACATGAAGCAGACATTACAGGACCAAATGGAAAACCTGATGGTATAAATGAAGTTTTCGTTACTGATGGTCAAGGTAATATTAAAGTCATAAATGGGTATAAATTAACAATGACGGATTATCCTAAACGTAAAGCATATAATGAATGTTATCCTATGAAATTTGATGAAAATGGAAAAGCTGCTAAACAATACATTGGAGAAGGTGAAAATGGTCCAATTAATTCATACCGTTATAATCCATATTCTTATTTCAATGAAGAATTAAATGCTATTGAAGAGGGACCGGATGGATTACCACGATATGTTAATCAGTTTGATGGTCAATATGCAAATATTAGACCTGAAATTCCAGCTAAGAAATTCTTTAAAGTTGCTTTATTCGATCCAGTGTTCAATGAACAGAAAGAAGCAATGAAAGCAGAATTTAAACCAATTCAAATGGCAAGAATTTCTTCATCTTCACTTTCAGAAGCGTTCAAGGAATTGATAAAGAAACCACTTTATTCTCAACAAGGTTATAACTTTGATTTAATTAAAGAAAGTGATAGACGTAAATTAGAAAAATCAGATGGTTTTAAGAATGCATGTAATGAAATGATTAAAGATATTGTAAATGATAAAATAAGACTGGAAGAAACTCAAAGCAATATCAATAACATAATTGGTGCAGTTACAAAGAAAGTATAAGCAAACAAGGATGAACCTTGGGATATTACCGTAACAACTAAATAAAACTTTAAATATATTTTTCTTTTTTTTTATTCAATTATAAATGAGAAGACGTTTCACTAGTCAAAAGAACACTAACGCAAAAGCAGAGATTACGGTTGGTTATAACGTAAATGATGATAAATCACGAATTATTCAAAATGTTAAAGTTAATGTTAGTCCTGAATTAACAAGGTCAGCAACTCAACCAAATTTATTAACTCGTGACTTACCAAAAAAGGAGGAGGAGGAAAATAAAGAAGATGAACCCGGTAAAGAACCCGTTGAAATTCCCACTTATCCAACATACCCCCCGCCTCTTTCATCAAACATCGAGAACCCAGGAATCTACGATTCCAGTCGCAATGCGCCATATAAAATAGACATTAATTCAGAATTAATGAAAATTTACCGTGATATAATAACTGATAATTATGATTCAATAATAAATTTAATTGATCAATCCGGTTTAATTATTTTACCTTATGAATCATTAATTCACATTATCGCCATTCTTTGTGATGTTCAAGATTCAGACGTTAAGATTCAATTTTTCATAGATGATGAGGTTTCATGCTGCGGAACAGTTGCAAAAATAAATCCTATAAAGGATATTAGCACAATTAAGATATCAAAGAACGGAACAACAACTGAACTTCATTTAACATATAATGATATTTATAATAAAATAGTTGATGAATATAAAATATCACTTGAAAAATTCTTTGTTAAGGCCATTTAATATTCAAGCATTAACATTATCGAATAATAATCCTTTGAATCATAATCGATAATAATTGACCTTTCACCAGTTTCTATCGTTTGTTTTATTTCTTTTTGTTCCCCACTATCTGGATCGGTCATTGTAATTGTTTTTGTTATAGTATCAGCTTTATCTTTAACTTCAATCTTTTTTCCATCAGGATATTTAAACCAAAATTCCAAAAATTCGATATTGTCAATCTGTTCATATTTTAATCTATCAATTACATTTTTAATACCATCTGAAAATCTTATGAAATGGTCATTATATGGGTTTGATTGAACTAAATTTGAATGAAGTGAAATATAACCCGATGATGAATATGACATTGACTCATATTTTCTGAAAACACTAAAATTTATAACATGAATGAATTTCTTATTCGTTGAATTTATGAATTCTTGAGGTAATCTTATCCTAGTTTTATTTATCACTGGAAAATAACGCTTTACCATATTTTTAATCGTAATAAAAATGTCAATTATCAATATTATTTCGAATAATAGCTGTGAATTAAATTTAACAGTTAGCGGAATTTATAATGTTACTCTCGTTTCTGTGAGTGGTAAATTTAATCCCATTCTTTTAGACCCTTCAGATTATATATCATTTATTAAAGATGACCATGAAAAAACGTATGATATGTCTATAAATAATGTGATAACGAAATGGGATATTAACATGATTTTAAGTTATTTAAATGAATCATTTATCGTATGGTATGAAGAAAATTTTAAATCAAAACCCGATAAACTTTTTGAACTTGATGAAATAAATAACCTTATTAAATTCCCGCTGAAAATTAAATTTTGTACTCCTCATTTTCGTTCATTGTTGGGGATATTAAATTTTGAAAAAGATGTTGGGGATGTTTTGTATTCTGACACTGGTTCCAATTTCATTTTAATCAAATGTGATAAAGTTAATACCCCAATGAGATTTTCACATCAAACATTAGACCCTAACTCTTACCCATCAATACAAAACATTTTATCCATCAACTTAAACATATTTTCTTTATCATATCCGTTTCAATTATCCGGGAATTCATTTATTCTTCATTCAAAAGATTTATCAAATATTAAATTTAGAATAACTGACCTATTTGATTGTGATTTAGAATTCATGAATGAAATATTATGGCAATTTCAAATAGAAAAAATAGGTGATGAGATAACGGATTAAATATTTATTTTTAAATCATAATAAATGATTAAACAACAGCAACCACAACAACTTAAGGCACAAAGCACCCAGGTCCCTCAGACCATTACATACGCCATATATGCATATAATTCAAAGACGGCAGAACAAACGCAAAGGTTGAAATATGGAGATTTGGAGATAATATTGAAAAATAACCATTTCGAATTCGTTTGCAAAGGTGGTGCAGTGATATCAAATATAAAAGAAATTTTATTTATGAATTCAAAAATTAAAGGAATAACGGATGATATAACATCAATTCCACCAGAAGAACAGAGATATTACGCATTAAATGCATTTCCTAAAGTTTTGAAGATTGGAAGATTTAATTTAAATGAGGAATTCATAAAAGGTTTCCTAAATGACATAATGGAGAAAGCAGATAAGGAATGTGTTGCTGCTGCGTTAGAGAAGAAAGCAGATAAGAAATATGTGGCTAGTAAGGACCGCTGAAAATTAAATTTTTTATGGGAATGATAACGGTTGGAGATGATTTTTGCCCTTGTTATTCATTCGATTGTATCCAATGGTTCAAATGTAATTTAAATCAAGATGCTAAATTTAAATATCCAAATAATCCTATTAGATGTATTAATAATAAATGGGTACTAATTTATGAAGTCAATCAAATTTTCATTAGTGAGGATGGGATAAATTATTATATGTTTAGTATGATGTCATCAGATTTGAAAATTGATTATACAAGTAAGTGGTATTACATTAACAACATGTATTTTATCCTACAAAATGATAAAATTTATAGATCATCTTCAATACAACAAGGTCAATTTGAACAAATTTTTCAAGCTGATGGACACATTGAAGCTTTATGTTATGGATCAAATGTTTATGTTCTCGTTTCAGGTGAAATGGTCTATTCATATCCTGTAAGTTATAACAGACATATTTATTTATCACAGGATTTATCAAATTGGGAATCGGTTTATTCATTCACTCCAAAACTTACTCAAAATTATAGATTTACTAATTTATTTTATATTGATGGGTATTTCATTGCTTTAGGATGTGGTGATTTAGTAAATATCAGTAGTGATGGAAGAAACTGGTCTGAAATCACAAAATTTCAAGATGTTAGAAAAGCAATTTTCAAAAATAATACGTTAATATTGATAACAAGACCAGTTTTAAATACTCACCCAAATTCAATATTATATAATAAATTCAATATTCATAATGGATTAAATACAATTCTTGAGATGATTTACCCCATTGGTTCTATTTATACGTCAATGAATTCAACAAATCCTTCAGAAGTTTTAGGTTTTGGTATGTGGGAACAGATTGTAGATAAATTCTTATACTGTGCTAACTCTTCAAAGCAAACAGGAGGTTCGAAGAAAATTACTGAAGCAAACCTTCCACCGCACACTCATACAGGAACTACAAACTTTTCTGGCGACCATAGTCACTCATTAAGAGACCATCCATTATACAACTCAGAATATTATGCTGGCAATGACGTTTTATCTCCAGATTATAACCATTCGGCAAAAAAGACTTTTCGACCAACTGAACCGGGAGGAAATCATTCACATACTTTCACAACAAATCCAACAGGCTTGGGTAAAGATTATATGCCTCCATTTATGACTATATTCGCATGGTATAGAGTTTATTGAATGAACTAAATATATTTTATGTCTGTAATTAATTAGGTAATGAAGTAATGGATGAACTGCAAAAATATATTTTATCGTTAATGTTTACGTTAATGGTTTCAGGTTATTCAATAATTAATTATTTTTGAAGAACTGAAGGTGTCACTCGGTTATTTAACTTCTCTGAAAAAATGAGACAACATGACATTTAGACAACAACACAGGAGGATTAATGAGGAAGGCAGTTATGAATTATTTTTGAAGAACTGAAGGTGTCACTATGTCACCATGTGTCACTCGGTTATTTAACTTCTCTGAAAAAATGAGACAACATGACATTTAGACAACAGTCAAAAAATAAAGTTAGTTTTAAAATGTAACTTTTTATTTTGTATGTAAGAACAGAATAAAGAACAGAAATGTCAGTCGAAGCAAAAACATTCACTAACAAATCTAATGGCGAAACATTCACAAAAGGCACTTATAACGGTATTGAAGTCTTACGTAGAGACAAGGATGATTACATTAATGCAACAAAGATGGCAAGAGAAGCGGGAAAGTTAAACCATTTAAACAGATTTCTCAATAGTGCTAAAATGCAGGAAATTCTTGAGTTTTGGTTGAAAGAATACGGTGGAGCCAAAAGTGGCTCGACCTCAAAACAAGCATTTTATGAGCTTACTAAGGGTGTTATAAATGAATTCAAAGGTATTTACATACATCCTGACCTCGTTCATTTTGTTGCTGAATGGTGCTCTGTAAAGTATGCATTTTATGTCAAAGATATTATGGACTCCATAGACAAGAAAGTTCATGAGAAATTAGATGAAGAAGAACTTGAAGATACAGTTGAGAATGCTAAACCTTTGTTTGAAGAAGAAGTTGGAAAAATGTGCGAAAAACAATTAGAACATGAACGTGAGTTATGTTATGGTTATAGAGATTCTCCATACGAACTAGACCAATGGGAACAAGAAAATTTAAAGAGAGAATTTAGAGAATATGAACTCGCTAAGATAGCATTAGAAGCTGCAGAAAAGAAGTTAAAAGCTTGGGGTCGTTTTGTACAAAAATATTGTGAGTAAATGATTTAGGTTATTCAATAATTAATTATTTTTGAAGAACTGAAGGTGTCACTATGTCACCAGGTAATTTAACTCATGACATTTAGACAACAACACAGGAGGAAGGTAGTTATGACTTATTTTTGAAGAACTGAAGGTGTCACTATGTCACCAGGTAATTTAACTCATGACATTTTGACAACACAGGAGGAAGGTAGTTATGACTTATTTTTGAAGAACTGAAGGTGTCACTATGTCACCAGGTAATTTAACTCATGACATTTTGACAACACAGGAGGAAGGCACTTATGAATTATTTTTGAAGAACTGAAGGTGTCACTATGTCACCAGGTAATTTAACTCATGACATTTTGACAACACAGGAGGAAGGCACTTATGAATTATTTTTGAAGAACTGAAGGTGTCACTATGTCACCATGTGTCACTCGGTTATTTAACTTCTCTGAAAAAATGAGACAACATGACATTTAGACAACAACACAGGAGGAAGGTAGTTATGACTTATTTTTGAAGAACTGAAGGTGTCACTATGTCACCAGGTAATTTAACTCATGACATTTTGACAACGCAGGAGGAAGCAACTTATGAATTATTTTTGAAGAACTGAAGATGTCACTATGTCACCAGGTAATTTAACTCATGACATTTTGACAACACAGGAGGAAGGCACTTATGAATTATTTTTGAAGAACTGAAGGTGTCACTATGTCACCATGTGTCACTCGGTTATTTAACTTCTCTGAAAAAATGAGACAACATGACATTTAGACAACATCATGGGTTATTCAATAATTAATTATTTTTGAAGAACTGAAGGTGTCACTATGTCACCAGGTAATTTAACTCATGACATTTTGACAACACAGGAGGAAGGCACTTATGAATTATTTTTGAAGAACTGAAGGTGTCACTATGTCACCATGTGTCACTCGGTTATTTAACTTCTCTGAAAAAATGAGACAACATGACATTTAGACAACATCATGGGTTATTCAATAATTAATTATTTTTGAAGAACTGAAGGTGTCACTATGTCACCATGTGTCACTCGGTTATTTAACTTCTCTGAAAAAATGAGACAACATGACATTTAGACAACAGTCAAAAAATAAAGTTAGTTTTAAAATTATTTTTATTTTTTTATTCCTATATAAATGACAGCAACAAACAACAACAGCAACTTTATCATTTCTGATGAACAAGTTATTGATTCATTAGTTGCGGAATTAGTTGTGGCAGAAACTAAAACCCTCAACGAAAGAATTGGTGAAAACATGATTGATTTACATAACTACCTCAAACATGATGGAGGAAGAGGAAGGAAAACTGGTACAGCTTTATTAGTAAATAAAATTTCAAATTTAACGATTATAGATGTTGATATCAATAAATCGTACAATGATGAACTTAAAGAAACAGTTAGAAAAGACATTTTATCAAAACTTTCGGATAAAGATGTTATCGTTAAAACCGCATCAGGAGGTCTTCACATTTATTGCAACACTAATTTCTTCTATTCAACCTCAAACAGAATGATTAAATGTTATTCCTGCAATGATTATGATATCGACATAATGACTTCTATTGATGATTCAAAGCGTTCTTTAGTGGTTATGGCTGATTCAAGAGTTCGCAAGAATGCATCAGAACCAATCAATACATACTCATTCATTCGTGGAAGTTATGATTCAACATTAACCAGAACAGTAAACGATATATTAAATGATTTGAATATTAAGGTAAGAGTTGAACAGAAGAGCGAAGAAATAAAGAGTATAATGAATGAAAACAAAGATGTAAACATTGACGATAAACTAGCTCAGAGCATAGTTGATGGCATCTGTGATTTTGAAGTACATAATGACGGTGGAAACATGAATTTAGAAAAAGAAATAACATTATTCACACTGTTTCAAGCTATTAATTCGTTACCTAATCATTTGATTAATGAAGCATACGATAACGTTTATAACTTCTGCAATTTAACTGAAAATGCAAAAAGTAATTTTGAAAAAGCACGTGATAGATATGCACATTTAATGACTTCTCCATTTGTTTTAGTGAAGATTCTAAAACTATACCAAAAGGAATATTATGATGAATATGTTTTACCTTTATTACGTAAGCCAAAAATAACATTTGATATCAAACTTGATGACTCGTTTTTGATAACAGATATTAGACGCAAGGCTGAAAATCATCAGTATAAAAACAGTTCTGAAGTAATTGAGGATTTATCACGTGTAATTCGTTTTGTAGATTGTGGAAACAAATATTTCATTCAGAAAGATTACAACATACACGACAAAATGAATCAAATATCATTTGTTCTTCAATCAAACATGAAAGAGTCACTCAAAATGATTAAATTATTTAAAGAAGAAGGTAAAACCATAACAGCATGGGATGTACTACTAAATCAATTGTCTTCATTAACCGTTAAGGGTGTTTGCTTTAAATCTAATTCCCCAGATGTTTTCTCAACGTTTCAGGGTTATAAATACAACATTCTTGAAAAGCCTGATTACTCAAAAATTGAGATGTTTATGAATTTCATTAAAGAAGCCATTTGTGATAATAACGATGAAGTGTATAAATACCTTCTCGGCTGGATTGCATCAATGATTCAACATCCTGGAATCAAGAATGAAACAGCAATTATTTTGAAAGGACTTCAGGGAACAGGTAAAAACAGATTTACAGATATTATTTCTGAACTTCTCGCTGGTTATTCATGTAAAAACATTACTGAAATAGGTGAGCTAACGGGTAATTTCAACTCAGTAGTTGAAAATAAAATGTTTCTTGTACTTAATGAACTCAAGAATGTAGGTGAAGACAGACTTGCAAACTTCAACGCTTTGAAATCAATTATTACGGATAATGAGATTAGAATTAATGAAAAGAATCAACCCAGAAGAACTGCTCAGAATGTTGCAAACTTCATTTTCGTAACTAACAACGTCTACCCTGTCAAAATTGAAGTTGGAGACAGAAGATACGTAGTTTTAAGAGTTAATGGTAAATTCAAGAGTCAATTTGATTACTTCAAGAATTTAATGGATTCATGCACAAAGGAATTTTATGATAACCTTTTAACATATTTTATCAATTACGACCTTTCATCATTTAATATACGAATCATACCGATGACTGAAGCCAAACAAGATTTAATAGAATTATCAACAAATCCTTTAGATGAATGGATAAATACACATTATGATGAATTGTGTGCAGGTATGACATGTAAAAATGCGCTATTCCGCAAACCATCAGACATGAAAGACAAGAATTTCCAAATGAGCATTAAGGATAAATGTGATAAGAAACAGGTAAGAATAGATGGTAAACAAACATGGTGTTATGTTTTGAAAGAAGAAATGAAAGGATTATATAAACAGGTTGAACCAAACGATAATGAGGATTCATTTACTGACGATGAAATACCTGTAAATGAGGCAGTATAAAGTATGATTGGAATTTATTTTTGCATTAATCCTCGTGTGTTGTTGTCAAAATGTCATGAGTTAAATTACCTGGTGACATAGTGACACCTTCAGTTCTTCAAAAATAAGTCATAACTACCTTCCTCCTGTGTTGTTGTCTAAATGTCATGTTGTCTCATTTTTTCAGAGAAGTTAAATAACCGAGTGACACATGGTGACATAGTGACACCTTCAGTTCTTCAAAAATAATTCATAAGTGCCTTCCTCCTGTGTTGTCAAAATGTCATGAGTTAAATTACCTGGTGACATAGTGACACCTTCAGTTCTTCAAAAATAAGTCATAACTACCTTCCTCCTGTGTTGTTGTCTAAATGTCATGTTGTCTCATTTTTTCAGAGAAGTTAAATAACCGAGTGACACATGGTGACATAGTGACACCTTCAGTTCTTCAAAAATAATTCATAAGTGCCTTCCTCCTGTGTTGTCAAAA